CGGCTTGGTATTTATCAGAGGATTCAACGCGGACGTGAGATGATTACAGAGTTCGAGATCTGCTCGTTGATGACGGGGTGACAATTTGAAAAGAGTCGAACAACAGAATTGGGGGAGGGAGCGGGAGGGGGGGAGGGGGGGGGAAGGAAAATCTCTTCCGCGTGGATTTTGATCACGTTGGTAAATACGCAACGATAGCTGTTATTACTCGCACCGGAAACGTCAGCCTCGTAAATAGTTAGTTTACGGCGGATGCAACGCTGAGAGCGTTATCGGGTGTACAGGCGATAAATTTCTACGTTTCGCCGGCTAACGATGACAATTTGTCGTTTAGCGCCATGGGAATATGGTGCACCGCGTCGAAGAACCGCGATGAAACGACGTCGTTTCCAGCAAATCGAGAAAAGGCAAAACGACACAGTCCCCCGGGTTAAATGATCGTCGTCGATCGATCAGTGGTAATTCGAAACTGAGGGGAATCTGTTTCCATGGGATCTCGCCGTGTGGTAAGCGAGGGTTGTTGGTAGAATTTAACTATCATTTATGTGGAATTAAGCGTGAGCCAGTCCGGCAAGGTTGCAGCCTCAATGGCACTGCGAGATACCAGCGCGGTGCCGCGCTAATTCTCGCTTAAGTACAATTTATAGCTCAGCTGGAAACGCTAGTTTTCAGACAGAGAAACAACAGACAGGTTCGAGGGATGCAAGCTTCCTACCATCCCATCCACGGCGAAACGCTCCGTTTCATGGCTATTCCCAACTACGGGGCACCGCGCGCCGGGTTGAATCATTTTGTTTAACAACGCGATGGAGGAACAAGTCGGATCAGACAAACGAAAACGTGACGCAATGCGTTGAACCGCCGATGAATTGCGTTAACGGCGGACGTAAGTAACAGGGGGAGCTTTCAAAGTGAATTCTTTCGTTCCGCGGTTCTTCTTCAGCCACCCCCGTGGCGGGAAAGTTCCTTTGATCGGACACCCCAATGCAATTAGAAGCTTTGAAGCGATTCCGCGGAGAACATCCTTGACGTCGCGCGTCAACCGTAACAACTAATCTTACTCGCCGGCGAATCTGGATATTTTTAAAAGGAGCACGCTCTTTTCAATCTTCCCCGTTTGTTTTCCCTTGGCGGATCTCGCTTTGACGACGGAACGGCGAGAGCTAAGGTTACGAGCGCCGCGATAAACAAGGGGAGAGGAGCTCATCCAGAAATTCAAGCGATAAATGATCGATTATCCGTTCAAGGTGAAATCAACCTCGCGATTGAGTAATTTGTTACATGTCATCGCTACGCGATGGCACAGGATTTATTTTATCGTAGGTTGCGCTCCGTTTATTTATCGGGGAGAGTGTACGTAGTATAATACATCGCGCAAAGCGTAGGATGTATCGCAACCGCAACGTTACACGTACGAAGTGAATTACCAACGTTTCGAAAAATTAACAGTAGCTGAAGTGTTGTAATTTCGTAATGAGAAATCACGCACGGAACTCAGCAACAAACCTGGTGTGGTTTTAAAGCGCGAATCTTGAATTTATCCCTCGCACTTGGAACGTTTTCATGTCTGGTGGTAAGTGGGAAAGTAAAGATACATAAATATATATATACAAATATATATAAATATGTTCAAAAATATATGCTATAAATTCAAACGTTTCTGAAAACATTTTTTTCATAACTGAATCTACCATAAATTTGAAGAACTGAAGCCTCTTCTTTACAACGATCCTCTAAAATTTGTTGTACGATTCTTCTTCGCCAAGAAAAAAATTTATTATTATTAAACAACTAGAAGATTATTAAAATTTATTGAACGACAATAATTGGAAAAAAATTCTAAGACTTCGTCGAATTTTTCGAAACATTGGACACTCAATACGTTTGCGATCGTCGTTGTACATACATCGAGATATAATCAGGACTCTTTTATATTCTAAAAATATATTCATCGTTCGAAATTCCGGGTGCTGAATACTAATACTTTTGGAATTCACTGTGTTGTTGTACAAGACTTAATAAATTAATCATCGTGCGTTAATCGTTTTCAATCCCAAAAATGTATATTTTTTTAATCACGTTGTCATTTGTAAGATCGAACGATACTTGGCGATCTTCCCGTCCGATGGTTATGTTTTTTAATCCACCGCCAATTCCAATAAACCGTGATAAGTCTATTCCCTGATTTCCAAAAATCTCATCCTCAACCTGAACCAATATCGATATCACCAATGGTGTTTGTTAAGTTTTTCAAACGTTGTACGGGAAGGCGAAACACGAAGTGAAACAAGCGGGCTTTGCAAGATCGGCCAGAATCTGCAATTGGGAAGGAACAATCGATAACGCAAGGTAAACGAGCAGCCTTTCAAGCACTCGCCTTCGCTATTCCATTCCTTCATTTTCGTCGTGAAAGCGAGCTTAGCAGCGGACAAAGTCTCCGGTGCCTGGAGCAATAATGTCGGGGGCAGCGATGCGAGTCAAAGGGAAGTTCAGCCCCGTGTAGCCGAGAAAGAAACGAGGCTCGTAGATGAGCGTTGAAGCTGCCCCGGAAACGGAACTTCGTGAAATCTTTTTTTTCTTCTTTCTTTCGTTTCTTTTCCTTTTTCTTTTCTTTTTTTTTAACGCTCGGACGAGAATGTTCCTCTCAATGGCGGCGCGCCATTTTAATTGCCATCGCGAGTATTCTCTTCTTCCGCCCCCTCCACTCGAACGTTTATATCATAAATGAAATTTTCGCTTGTACGTTTTTCGAAACGGAAAAGAGAGAGAGAGAGAGAGAGAGAGATCGTAGAGTAATTAAGCGAAGAGTGCGAGCGACATTTGGCTTCTTTCTTCATCTTCGATGTTAAATCGTTATAGCGTTGTACGTGTTGAGCGATCAAAAGAGTTAAGAAAGAGTTGTAGAATGAAATACTTGTTCTGTACGAAACGCACGTGGATCATAGAATTTTTTTTTTTTATTACAGCGACTCAGACTGAGAACGGATAAATGTTCTTGGAAAGAAAAGTTTCAGACAGAATGGAACTTGCGAAATGAAATGAAAATGAAAATTTTTCTGTCGGAGCAACGCATAATCAGTCCATCAATATTAAAAAAGTTCTCGATATTTTGTAGCAGATACTGAATGCTATTCAATGAGCATAAAAATGGATTTTTAATTAAATGGAATTCCGTGGAATTTTTATTACTACAGATTCTAAAATACGTATCTGTCCTATGAGAAGTGTTCCACAAAGGCAGATATTTCTTTTTTATACGAAAGACATAAATTCGAATTTTTTTTTGGAAACGAAAAGAACTCATTAATTTCGATCTTTGATTATACCGAGTTCTCGATACGGTGAATCAAGAGTCCAAAGAAAAAATATTTTTCCAACCGTTTTCGTTTGTGTAGAAAAATCGAAGTCGAGACTTTATTCGACTCGCCTCGAGATTCGAATTGCCGCTGGTTCGTCTTTATATTAATAAACAATGCAGTAAACAGCGCGTAAATATTTGGATTCCTGGATCCACAATTCGAAGATTAAAAACGCGAGGCTGCAATGGTACGTATGTACTTCGTTACGCAATAAAAGCAGCGAGCTTCCAAATAGTTTCGAGCTGAGAATACGCTCAAAAGTTTCGTGAAACGATCGCCCTGTTAACCGAAGAGCATCTGCTACCGGTGGCTATAGAGGCAATTCCGAAAACGATAGCTCGAGTGGCTGGTTTCCCTAATGTTACAACCTCCTATATCCTCTGCTTTATCTTTGCCTCTCTCTCTCTCTCTCTCTCTCTTACTCGGCTACGCGCGTTTACCCCGACCGGAGAATTAATTAATCAGACAATAGTGGCACCCTGATAAATGGCCGGCACGGAAGCGCATGATCGATAAGAGACACCGTGCTACCATCAACGATGTTATATGCTCTCGACAAAGCGATGAATCCTACGGTGATGCACGAGCACCGTTTCCGATTCGATCCACACCACGGTAAGATCCCTCGCTAAAATAGATTCAGAGGTCGTGAAGAGACGGTGAATCGAGTAACTTCACTTACATCATTCTGTTGGGAATAGATCGATGTTACAGTCTGCCTGAGACTTTGCTTCGTTACCTGGCCTTGGTTATTCGCAACACAGCTTTCTTTTAAATCGATCTCGACATTATTATCGCCGTTATTTTTTGAAACTTGTATGTTATTATTTTTAAGACTTATATATTATTATCACTATTATTTCCAAGACTTCGATACTATCTATTTTTTTCTTTTATAACGAACGACTTGCATAATCTTTCATACTTTTTGATTCCTTTTACCCGCAGCGGTATAGACGTTATTAGTAGTTATTATAAATAGTCGACTACTTGTGCCAGATATCCGGGAATGAAGGCACCCGGGTTCGCTTTCTCAGATAAGAAACCACTAGAGATAAAATACCAGTTTCTTGTAAGACGAATAAAAAGAATGCAGCAGCGAATGAAAACAAGAAGAAACTACGTAATATTAACTAACGAACTGATTTATATTTCAAATTCTTCTCAAATAGAAAACGATTTTTTGTGTTGGAACAATTTGTGAGATTACCTTCACTGTATGAAATTAAAAAAAAGAAGCGACAAAATTATCTTCTCTTACGATCTAACCAGATATTAGTTACAAGCGAATGTGACACGCGTTTGAATTTTGACAATTTTCGAGAAGAAAATTATATCCTCACTTTTCCGCTCGCTAATATAAAAAAAAAAAAAAAAAAAAACGAGCTCACGACTGTCAACTGTAAAAGGCTCCAGGCATTAAAACGAAACCTGAAAGTTACGTCAGTTTAAATTATCGACGATTTTTTTTTCACTGTTTCATCGCGCTCGTTGCTGTACACGTTGAAAGAACTGAGAGAAGAAAGGAGAAAAGTGAAAAGAGAAAAAGAACTAATTGCTAAATCAGTCGAGACTGGCGGAGGCCGAAAAAGGGAATATTTCGCCGCGGCAAAGCAGCAGAATAATCCATCGATTACTTACTATAAGAAGAACGCATCTATTTTCAGAGGTAACGCCGCCACATCCCAGCCAGCTACCGACCACAGCCAGGACACCTGCTACGATCAAAGCGTACGCCAGTGCCGGGTACGTCGAGGTCGTCATCAGGGACACGTAGCTGTGCTTCGAAATCACCGTCCAGATACCGATCCCGCCCACCACCAGTCCAGATAACTGAAACAAAAATAAAACCCGGTTCAGAACACGTTCAAGCTCGGCACGTCTCTGTTAATCTTTAACTACTCACCGGCGCCCATGCGTAAAGAGGTGAAACGTTAAATCGAATACGCTCCTTCTCGCGCGCAGTTGAAACAAAATCAACACTCGCGCCAGATAGCGAGGAATGTCTGTCTGTTTTTCTCTCAAATAAACGCGCGCGCACGCGGGCTAAGCGATTCGCCGCAGTTGGCCTTCCCGGTTAATTGTATTTCACCCATCGCGCCGAACTTGTTAAGCCATCACCGTGTGCACATTCTACGCAAACTTGTCCACGCCGCCGCCGCCGCTGTTGCGGAAAGTTGCCAGTTCCCCGCGAGATACAATCAACATGTCTGGATTCGATTAATCGATCCATTCGATCCGAATTATACGGAGCGGAAGCGATACTAGCGCGGGCTCGGCTAGTGATTGAAGTCCGGATAATTGGAGAATGTAAACTTCTAGAGCATGGGTGTCTAACTTTTTAGATGTTGATTGACCAACAAAAATTTGTCGAGGGCCGCGCATTGTTTATTTTTATTATTATTTTTTTTATCAATGTAATCCATATAACCTATTATTACTATAACCTATATTATTATTACTCTATATTACCTATATAACCTATATTATTATTACCCTATACAACCTATATAACCTATATTATTACTAATCTATATTATTATATAGCAAATATTATTGCAACCTATATAATCTATATAACCTATATTATTATACAGCAAATATTATTACAACCTATATAACCTATATAATCTATATAACCTATATTATTACTAATCTATATAATCTATTATTATTACTCTATATAACCTATATTATTATTACCCTATACAACCTATATTATATTACTATATAACTTATAACCTATATTATTATTATATATATTATATTATATTATTATATAACCCTATAACCTATATTATTATTACCTTATACAACCTATATAACCTACATTATTACTAACCTATATAACCTATATTACTACTAATCTGTACAACCTATATTATAACCCTTTAACCTATATTATTATTACCTTATACAACCTATATAACCTATATTATTACTAATCTATGCAACCTATATAACCTATACAACCTATATTATTACAAACCTATATAACCTACATTAAAACAAATTTTATAGTGAAACAATACATTGATTAGAAAAATATATTCATATTAATCAGAAAAATATGAAAACTTTTAATGAGAACATCTTATTTTTTCCATATACTAGTTCATTAATATTTGGTTTGACACAGGCAGTAGCAATACCTTGAAAAGTATTTTTAAGATGCTCGTCTAAAATTTTTGTTCTCATTTTATTTTCTGTGTGCTTCGTATGAGAAAGGTACACCTGAAAAGAGACATCACGAATACTCACGGTTAAAATTATTCAAATAATAAAATTCTTGTCCAATTATTCGTATAATCAATTTTGATTATACGATACGAATTTTAGACGTTCAATTATTTCAATTTGATAGCGCGGGCCGCCTGTTCTAGAATTGACAAGTTCGAAATTAGTCGCAGGAAAGAAACTTCCCTCTCCTTTGCGAGGAAATCAATTTTTATATCACGAAATGGATACGGACGTCGTTTGTAATCACGGACGTAACTACATCTTCGTTTTACTCCCATCGAATTCCGCCGGCATGGGACAGATATTGGGTCGCCGCCCACGAACCAACGTCGTTGATAACCGTGTCCCTCCGGTATCGTTTTCCAGCGATGTTTTATCCAATTTTTCCTTTCTTCTCCTCTTTTTTTTTTTCGTACAATTCGTTTCCCTTATTTTTCTCCCTCCTCCCGTTTTTTTCGCTGCCCCTTGACTCCGTGGAATTTTCGCTCGTCCTCGTAGCAGCGATCGTCGTGGCCACGACGCCAATCGTTTTCTCCCGCGGGAGCAACGGTTGGAAGCTACGCGGTGGGAAATATACGGGCAACGTCCGCGTAAATATCGGCGGACGCGCGATATTTACGGTATCGAGGAATGTGCAGCAGCGTACGTGGCCGATGTCGACTGTGCTCGTACAATGACCAAGTTTCTAGACACGCGCACTCTAGACGAATGAAACGGCTCTTCTCGGCCACATTATCCGTGCATCGGGAAGATGCACACCGCGGTACGCCGCTGTCAGTGATAATTGTCCTCTCGACTTTCTCGTTCCATTTCCCGATACTATCCTCCCCCCTCTCCCCTTTTACGGAATATCGTCAATCGCAGGAATAATACGGAATATCGTATTAGCAGACTTTTGCGACATTTTACTCGCGAATGGATTGAAATCGTCATATTCGATTCAAACATCGTTACAGCGAACGGAGTAAACTGTATCTGATGGGAATGAAACATTGTAGGTAATTTAAACTGATGTGCAAGAAAGGATCGTGTGACTATCCACTTGGCTTTATTTTGACATGAGAAGCTTTTGCTCTGACAGTCGCAGAGTCGTTTTTTTCTTCTTCTTTACTTTCTTTCCCGAGGATTGTGAAAGTTCAAACTTGCGTAAAAAAAGAATTCTTTTCGTAAGTAGATCTACCATCATTTTTGAGTGTTAAAGTCTCAAAACTTGTCGCACGATTTTTTATCATTTTGTTGAACGTTGAACGTTTATGGTCAAACTCAAGAAAATCTAACGTTTCATCTAATACTTCAAGTTCAATAAAATAATAATAATAATAATAATAAAAAAATCGTACAGAAAATTGTAAGAGCTTGCTGTAAAGAGAAAATTTCAATCTTCAATACCGTGGGAAATCTAGTCATGAAAAGAATCTTTCAACGTTTTCACACACGTTTGAACTTTTACTGTTGTCGAGAGAAAATATTCTCGGTATAAAATCATCTTAAGAGAAAAAAAAGAAGAAAAGAATTTACGAATCATCAAACTAGAAGCTTCTCAAAATGATCCTTATTCTCGAAGTTATGTTAGTTTAAATTTTTCCAGGTTATGCTCTTCGCTGTATTTTTTATCCTTTTAAAAATATCTGTGAAATATTTAGAAGTGCACTTTGCCACTCTCTGAATCATGCAGAAGCATTTGCCTTGAATACGGAGAGCATCTGATCAAAAATTGAAACAAAATCTTCGTTATGCCTGTGCTTCCTCAGGTGATGCTAATGCGTTACACATCACACACATTTGTTACGCGTGCGAGCATGTTGATTACACGTCAATGATATCTAGGTTAATCACACTAATGTTCACACATTGTCATCTAAATTCGTTTCGATCGTTTCTTCATTCTTTTTTTTTTTTATCTACACATCGACGCATCTACTGCTGAATATCTCGCGAGAAGTATAGAAATATGAAATCATCGGAAGTGTACGGGCAGCTACCAACGTTCTCCCACACTGTCAATATATGTAACTCTGGTTCATAGTACAACGTGATACGACGTACATTCATGGAGAAGGAATCTCGAGGGAGTTGGACGAATCAAAGAGATAGTCCAAATTTATGTTCCTAATCTCATCCTACCCGCGTGTAAGTCCCTCTGGAAAGTATTCGGCCGTAACACGTGAAATATCCGTTCCCTTTGGTTCAAATACGCCTTTGCTTTTCATTGGAACACACGGTCACTTGCTTTTGCTATCAAGAGATACGTACAGTTTTTGAAAAAGTTGAAGAAAATCGTAGAAGCTTTCGAAAAAAAAAAAAAAACTGTAGTGATTATGATAATTAATATTTATATCACAATACAACAAGTAAATAATAACTCCGTATTTAATTTTAGTTGTTTATATAAAAATATTATCAATATCACAAAATATATAATTACTAATAATTTAATGAAGATTACATAGTGGAAGTTAAATGACGAATAATTTCTATGAATGAAAGTTAAATAACGAATGAAGAATTTCTACTATGACTACAATAAGTGTCAGTAAACATTTCCATGGTGATAATAAAATTAATAGCTATTTTTAAATATTCTACTGTTTATATTAAATACATATCTCGACGGAACATAGATGTCGTTGATCTAAATTCTTCGAAGTAGAGGTCTGTAGATAACATAATACGGACTGAATGACATAAATAACAAAAATAACTTTTACGAACACGTGTTTCTTTAATGTTTCATTATTTTATTTGGAAGTATAATTAAATGTGAAAAACATAGAAAAAGAACTGGGAAAATGAACAAGTTATGACTTTTTTAAAACCCTTCAGTTTTTCAGCGGCCACCCTGTACATACCTATAGAGAACGACTAAAATTAATTTTATACGGAAAGATAACTAAAAATTGCATACGTATTTGTCGGAAATGTAGCAACTAATTCTCGTTGAAAAATGTGGAACATCGAAGACCCTGCTGTATCGCGCGAAATGGGAAAGCATAAATCAACCCCGGTTGCCACGCAAAGCAAAGGGTCTGAAACGTTGAAACAGGCGTTTTACACGTTCCTAATATAACCAGGATTTGTTTTCGACCGATTCCCTGGCCGTGTATCTCAACATTCCCCGCTGGCAGATATTGCAAAAATTATAAAACCTTCTTATCTCATCGCGCGAAGCCGTAAAATTCGCGGAATGGCCACGTTCGGAAAAGGATTTGCATTGGCGACTAATCGATATTCTTTTATCGACGGCCGTTCATCGGCCTTCTCGGGGATCGACAGGACGAACCGCACCTACGCATTATATCTTCCACGATGTTATATCTTCGTGGAAGAATCCAGCCAGCGAATGCTTCGAATACAAGTCGATATATCAGTGCACGGAATATATCACGACACATTTTGAACTATTTTGAACATTTGCAGAAAGTATCTGTGTAAAATGTTTTTTTACAAAACTTTCGTATCAATGTACTTGACGTGTGCTCTATGAAAATTTCGACTATCTAGTAATTTTCTACGGGGTGTATTTTTTTAGGGCATGTCTCGCCTCTGTATAATATACACATAATTCTTGTTATTCAGAAAGTGAATTTTCGACGCGGAGGAAGCCTAAAAGGCTTTAAAAGCTACCAAAGAACGTGGCATCCATGGAAAGAAAGAAATTAGAAAGTTAAATTTTCATTCGAAGAAATGCAAGATATTCACTGTTAACAACTCATCCTAGAAAATAAAGTTGCTCCCCCTGTGGCAACCACGGGCCTAAAGTATGGTTCTACATGTAACAATAAATCGAAAAGTAGAAGAATAGAACTTTTTCGTGCGACGCTTCGCTTCGTTTTCGAGTTTGAAAATTTATCAGATATACCTGAATTCAGCTTAATTCCAAACGTGAATGGAAAACAATTGACAGAAGATTATTTTACGTGCGAAAATAAATAGTTTCTCATTTAGAAATAGGAGTGAGTAAATATAAA